CAACAACAACAACAACAACAACAACAGCTGAGCAATTCCTCAAAGCAGGGGGTTTTCGGCTGTTGCCAGCCGAGAACACCCACCCGCCTGCACCAGAAACCGATGATTCTGGCCCTCTCCAGGTGGCCTGGGACACGAAAGATTCGAATCCCGCAGCTCGTCTCCTGGATTTTTTGGTTAAAATAAAAGTTGGGACTGGGGCTTTTTTTGGGCCTAAGGATTGGTGCCTAAGGGGACTGGGGCTTTTTTGGTGCCTAAGGATTGGGACTGGTTTTTGGGAAACGTTTTGGGGAACAGGTTTCCTTTTTTTGGAGGAACTCCACAACTGGGGCTTTCAACTTCTGCTTTTCCTCTAAAACCACGAAAAAGGAGGTACCCCTAGACATGACGTAGCCAAATGGGTGCCGATTTGCTTCCGGCTCATTTGCTTTCGAACACTGTTGACACCCCCTGAAGCTGGCTAGGAATGAAGCGTACCAGTACCGATGCCTGGATGCACTTGGCGCAAGCAGCTCTTTCAGGCAGTAAGCAAATTCTGCTCCCTTGCCAACCTTGCAAAGAGTTTCAACTCGCATCTGTCAAAATCCTAGACCAGCTGGGCCTTTCAGCGCGCGATATTCCACGGTTGGGCTTCTTTGATGCCAGCTCGAGCCCGGCTCCTGTTTTCTGGTCACTGGAGACTCCCTGCAACTCGCGTCATAGATGGCTTGGCAAACAACTCCTTCGGGGTATCAAAGATGGGCTACGATACAAATTGTATTCGGGAAGCGCCTCAAAAGAAGTTGCTGGACATACATTCCAATAAATGATGTCCACCAAAGGGTCCGGGATCCACACCCACCTGGTCTTCAAAACAGCAACCTTTGGGGTGCACATGACACAGCCTCACTCTCCAAACTGTTGGGCTCCTGTGCGGGCCACAACGTGCTAAACTGGTGCCTCAGGATTGGGACTTAGGCTTTTCTTGGGAACCGTTGGGGAATGGAGCATGTTTCCTGAGCGCTTTCCAGAGCCGTTGGCTTGTGAGGCATGACCCTTGCTCGATAACTGGAATTTGGATCCTTTTCTGAAGGGAGGGCTCCCTCTCATCACAAAGTGTCACCATGAGTTTAACAAGTGTCGACCCATTGTTGTCCTCCTTTCAACTCGAGTCTTGGACTAGCTTATACACCCAAAGAACTCGCACGCTGGACCCGTCATCTTGACTCGGGAGTCAAAGTCAGCTGTGTCCAGCGGACGTGGGTCGACCTGAGCTCGAGGCTGCAGGATGATGGTGACCTCCTCTCTGCCGTGCGGACTGGGCCGGGCGCGTGAAGGCGCAGGCGAAACGCGTGAGAGAGCGCCGGGCGCAAGTTGGAAACGCCCGCTCCACACAAACTCACACACTTTCACCTACCCACACACATTCACACACACATTCACACACATTCACACAGATTCACACACATTCACACAGATTCACACACATTCACACAGATTCACGCAGATTCACGCACTTTTCACACTTTCAGAAACACTTTCACTCAGAGCCTGTGGCTCTGGATGAAGTTTACCCCAAAGCCGCCTAAAGCTCCACTCGCCGCGGAAAGAATCGCGAGCCAAACGCGAGCCAAACGCGAGCGAGCGATCGCTCGCTGCGCGAGCGAGAGGCGAGAGGCGCCTCAAGGTGGAAGCGCTGGGTCGGACCAAGTAGGACTTCGGCGCCGTTGTCTTCACCTGGCGCGCACGGGGCAAAACTCCCCGGGCTGGGCCCTAGCGGCTTGAGGCTTGGGACTCAAACCTTGTTCAACACGACAACTATGGGTCTTAGCAAATAGATGGCCCTGGTAGAAGATTGAACCACCAGGTAAACCAGGGCCCTCTATTTTCAACCAAACCAAAAAGGACACCTATGACTACAAGTATGTGTGTCAAGGATACTAGATCTGCGCTTCGGATGAACATGATCTAATGAAATGCCCCGAAGGTGTCGACGTTTCAGTTGACATGTCAGCCCTTCCAACCCGTTTGGTGGCAGCAGTTCGTTGACTCTATGAAACACCCTCACGATTCATGATGTTTGCTCGGTCCGTTGAAGTTATCCCCTTGCAAGCATTGAGAGAGGCAAGAAACCAGCGAAACAACTTACTTGATCAGGAGCTTTGGGTCTCTCCCGAAGCAGTGGAGCGCAACAAATGACAGCGGTCACTGGAATTCCCCTTCAAAAGTTGCAACTTACCGGTGGTGTCCACTGAAACTGCCAGTTTTGGAGGTTCCAAACCGGGAAATGGAGGACACCCTGTACACGTTTGTTTACATCTTTGGCTTCCAAAAGGGGTCCACATGTGACCGGCTTCACTGGAGTGTCCTCAAACGCGCGCCTTGAAGGCAACGTGCCCACTGGTCTTATTGATCAGCATCAATTTCCTGGCCGACAAGATCTGGACACATGTTGGGTGACCCCTTCGTTCAACGGGTTCCAACAGATGGCTTCCTCAAGCAATCCGAACCTGTTCATAATTACCCTTCTAGAGGGCTCCCCACTCATTTGGATACAGAACCCAGGCACCTTCCGCATCCATCGCAAAGGGTACCCTTTTTCTGCAGTCTATTCAAGTAGGGGAACCCTCCCAACCGGAGAAAGGGGTGAGAAAGGGCACCCAGCTGGACCTAGATACTGACTCAAAGAGCAAGGCGGAACTCTGTGAAGCTCCCCGACCTGTTGGGCGACATATTCGTGGGAGTCTTGCCTGGCGCAGCTCGAGCGCCCCCGAAGCCCAATGCACCGAAAGCCAAAAACTCATAACTCTCGAGCCTGACAGAGACACGCGCGCCGGGATTCCGTGGCTAATCCCCATGTTCCGTGGCTAATCCCCACGCTAATCCCCATTCCGTGGCTACTCCCCAGCCCGCTTCCCAAAAAAGCCAACTCTTGGAAATGGAGACAGATCCGCGCAGTCAAAAGTCACGTTTCCTAGCAAAGAAACCAGGGCCCGAAGCTTGGATGGTGCTGGCCATCTTGCCGAAACCGATGCACCACATGGCTCGAAACCGCACCAAAGACGGGTCACCGCTTCGTTCACGCCAAGAAGAAACGTCTGCCGGCGGCGCAGAAATGCAGGGTCGTCGACGGATCCAACTCTAGCAGGTTCATCGGCATCTTGCCTGGCCGTTGGCTCCCAAACTCCGAGCCCCAAAAAAAACGCGCTCGCTTATTTGCTAGGAAATAAACATCGACCATCTAAAAGGGGACCCCTGTGTGAGAAAAAAGAAGCGTAATTCTGACATGAGAGGCGGGTTTGTCTTCACACACGTGACAGGAAGAAATCAACTGGCAGAAAGAGAAAACTTCAAAGCAACATCTCCTCACAACTCTCCTTCTAAGCAAGGATGATCCAATCTGAAAACGCCGAAAGGCCAATGAAGATCTTTAAGCAAGAGAACGCTGGCAACAAAAACCTCTACGCTCGCGTGCCCGTGTCTTTGCCGTTTAACGGTCAATCCCTCACTTTCTTGCAACGCACTCGCATGACAGAGTAAGTCAGCTATGTAAAGAATGCGCTTGTCCCTTCAACTTAGCACATTCTCCACAGTACACCCACCGCAGGGTCCCACCTGTCGTCTTTCTGAATGGCGCATGACAATTGTAAGCCAGACACACTCGCAAACTAACAAAAACAAAAGAAGTGATGGGGCCTTCTGGTTCGGTGAAACCTCGGCGCAGGGTTCCAATTGTCGGTTTCCCAAAAAACGACTTGAACTCATGCGTGGTCTGTGCATTCGACAAAAGAGACTTGGGGTTGAGTCCTTGGATAACCTCGTTTTCATGGTTCCTTGATTGTCTGCCGCGAACATGGATTTCCGCTGTTTGCCTCGGATAAACGAGACAGGTCCGTGCGCTGGCCAACACCCTTCTTGCAAGCCCCAGGCAAAGATTTCCCGAACTCAAGGCAAACGTTCTTTGAAATTGACACCTCCATACTCGATCCCACGCGATTGAGTATAAACGCGGATTGGAAAACCCGAAAACCAAAACAAACAAACAAACTGAACAAACTGAACAGAAGTACCCAGCCCAAACCTCCCCAAACCTCCCACAAACGCCTGTCACGGCACTGCGGCCTCCCCAGACGAAAATGGACCTCGCTGAAGCATACAGGAGTGGGAGGAATCAACAGGTTTTACCAGGCTGAGATCTCCCGAGTAAGCACCGCCCCTCCAACAGAGAGATACTTGAAACTGGTCTTGGTCTGCTGCTTGCATTGGTTGACTTCTTGTCGATGTCGTTCCATCCGCCAAACCCAGTTCCCAAATTACGAAGCACAAAAAAGAAAAGGCAGATTGGCACCTGCCCAGGTCAAATCCTCCCAGAAAGAAATCGCTGTCCGTGTTCAGCTCGGGGTGAGCAGGAGCGGCAGCAACGAAGGCACACCCCAAGTTTCGGCTCAGCAATTGGTGGCAAGTATACCAAGACCTGCCACGTCCCGGTCACTGAGATCGCACGCAACGCATGATGCCTGGCAGCGCAGCAACGTTCGCACTTGCTTAAACCCACCCCATCCCCTCCTGCTGGGTCGCGCGCTGACCACCCTGAACAACGCAATGTCTGATATCAGCCGAGTGTTTGAGCCGGCACGTTCCACGGTCACGTGGCTCTCTCTTTTCCCTTTCAGCTCAACTGACCCCTCAGGCACGCGCGCAGAAATCCTGGAGGCCTTCCCAAGCGAACATTCCCCTCAAGTGATGAAGCCCTAGCGATGAACATCAACCAGGAGCCGAGACTTGGCTCCGGGACTAGGCACATGTCATGTTTTCCGTGGCGGGCGTTTCACTTGCGGCCCCCTTGGGGGGCCAGGCTTTGGCAAGCGAGGCTTGGCGAACAGGGGCATCTCGCGAGACACCCGAATTGTGGAGATGGGATCTTCACTCAAATACAGTGGACGAAATCCGTTCGCACCACCTCAGAAACCATGGTTGCAACCATCGAATGTTCGCATGTACAAGGGAATCGAATCGTTCCAGCGATTCTTTGGTGCAGAATGTCATCCACACTATCTCAAAAGGAGAAGCTCCTCCTTGTTGCCTTCGCGGTCTGAGAGCCCATCGGATCACCCGCACCGAGTTCTCCCTCACCGAAGGCCCTCCATCCGGCGGTTCAGCTCCCGGTAAAGCCTAGCAACCCGATCTGACAGTGATCTGGATCTTGGCACCCCAAAAGTCAAAGGCTGATTGAAGAAGTTCAGATATGAACCCAGGATCATGTTTCACCTGATGTCTCACAATTAAGCCATAGCTTACGGTCCAAGGAGCCATGAACTAGGGGTTCATACCAGGGGTTCATATTTGGACGTATACATGATTGAATATGGGGGGGCTCGTCTGTTTTACACTACCCCCCTGCCCAAACAAAAAAAATGGCATGCAGCGGTGTTCCTCTTGGCTTCCCTCCAAAGCCAAACAACAAGGTGGTTCCCAAAAAAGATGAATGAGCCCATATGGGACCCATCGGTGCCAATGGTGTCTTCATCCCAAGCTAAGGCCCTCCAAATGAGTCGTCGAACCCTGTCCCGCAGACCTACCCTCCCAACCCCTTGAAGGTCACCGGAAGACCGTGTTACGTTTGAAGGAAACTTTGTGCTACATGTCACGTTCGTGGGGGGTCGTACCCTTGATGTGCCTGCCATAAAAAGGAAAGGGTCCTCAGAGTCCACCCCCCAATTCCCTTCGGCAAAGGAAAGTTGCCCAACTTGTCCGGAGGAAGTCCGGCAGCAACACGTTCGAACAAAGATTCGACCGACTGCAGGTTTCTCTCGAAAGATGCGCATGACAGGTCCATGAACACCCCATCTGCTCTGATGCTCGACCATAATAACAAACGTCTCATGGCCCCCATCACAAGTGTCCCCCTAAAGCATCCGGGGGTCAGTTCCTAAAATATGCCATAACCACGGCTTTGTATTTATGTGAGGCCTTGTCGGACTTTCAAGAAAGAAAAGCACAGGTTGCTCCTGTTTAGGGATCCGGGTGACATGTGCAAACCTTCCGCGGTTTCCCTTCATCATCCCTCAAACAGGAGGAAACTCGGTTCAAGTTGTGTTTGAACCACCACAAAGCTAAAGAATGGGAAGGGTTCGTATGAAGTTTGGGTGTGTCTTCGGGGGGCAACCTGATTTTGGGGTGGATTGCCGTCGTTTAAGACAACTGATCAGACTCCAGCTATTTGCTGGTTTGGATTGGTGGTGCGGTGGTTAAGGGGGGGCTTCCCATTTACCCTCAACAAGAACCCACATCCCCAAACCACCAATCCCCACCACCAAGTATGGAAAAATCGATTTGAAGACTGGGGTTGTCTCAAAATTGGGGTACGCCTGTGGCTTGTGTCCATTCTGTGTCCCATCCCAAAAAAGGGGTATCAACCCAAAAACAAATCGGAACCACACCCAACGTCATGTCGGCTTTTTCCGCCGCCGCCTATCCAGCTCCTCCTCCGCAGCAGCCGTCTCTGCCTCCTCGCGCACCTCGGAGACGCCCTCGGGCTCCTGCGGGGGGAAATGGCCACCACACGCAAACGGGCGGCGCTTGTCAGCTGGCTGTGGAAGCGACATGTACCAAAATGGCGCCTTGGTAAATGGAACCAACGACTAACACCTGCGTAACCCTAGCTCTTTGATTTTGAGCCACACCCATTTTTTGTTGAGTCGGCAAAGTCTTCTTTCTTGGTGGTTTCCCTGATGGCCATCCCATGTCTTTTGATCAACCCCCCACAAGAAGATTGACCCTCCTTCCTACAAGATATCCCGGGAATACATTTACAGGTCCGGGGAGTTGGACCCCTTGGTTTTCCCTTTGAAACAACCCAAAAGGGGGTATCAACTCCAACAAAGAGGAGCCATCCAAATGGAGCTAGCAAGCTTCTTGCACGGTTGATCCACATCTAAGTAGAACATGGCCTATTAGGGGAGGGGGTTCTCTCTGAAAGTGATGAATCCCCACCAAAAGGGGAACCATCCATGTATCAGCCAGGGGTTTAGAACTTCGGGGCTCCCATTACACTTGTGGCAATCGCGAAGCTTCAAGAGGATGATCGTCCAAAACCCGCCTCTTTCCTTGGCTGCTGGGGTTCGAGGGTCTTCCGTTTTTTTCGGGCTGGGCTTGGTGCAAGCCTCCAATGGCAGAAACCAAAGGCAGCACTCCAAGCCAGGCGACCCCAGTTGGGCCTGCCTGGCTCCTTCAAAAATTCCTTTCAAACCGCCTCCTTTTCTGGGCTTCCCTCAGATCCCCTGCCGAAGGTCGAACACTCACAGCTTAAATCTAGAAACGCCACGAAATTCCCCCAAAACCAACTCACAAGCTTCCACGTCTCGTTGCATTGTCTTGGGCCTTCCTTTTGAGCACCCTTCCCACCGACCCCGGTGCACCGGGGTAAGGCCTTCAGGACGCGAAGGCCTGGGCCGGCCCCCATGATGTTTAGGAGCCCCTTTCAAAACCCACCAACAATTGGGGGGGCATACCCTCCGAGGGAACAATGGACCTGCGACTTGTTCACGAGATCATGCCGTCCAGAATGAACATCCCGTGAGGCTTGGGTTGTTGGCATCGTTGGCTTATGAAAAGCCGCAACGTAAACCCACGTCCCCACCACAATTTGCGACGCTCAATTGCAACTGCAATGTAGTATTCAGGATGCCTTGACGTGAAAAGTTGTCCAGCGCCGACACCCGAAACGTCAGGTGCACCACTTGGCTCGCGAGTTTTCCAAGCGGCTGCATTTGTTGAGAACGTCCCCCCCCCTTTTTGGGGTGGCTTTGAAGGCACCACCAAATCCACATGAGGTCTGCCCCTTGCCCCCGCCATTCGGAGAAATCAGTGCGGGGAAGGGCAGCCACTTGCCACCACCAAGTTTCAGGAGCTGTGGCCCAACCCTTCAATGCGTGGCTGTGGAACATCCCCTTCTCTGCCAATCTTGTTGCATTGATTCCCATGACTGTATCACTTTGAAGGGGATCTCTGGGTACTTATTGGTGGCCCAACGAATTTTATACAAGCAGACCCACCCCAACACCTGAAGAAGGCACTGATCTGATCATTTGTTCTGACCTTGACGAAAAACCAGGGAATGACGGTGATCTAAATGGCGCTGTTCCCTTGGATCAGCACGCTACCAGTGATCCAACCCAACAGCTGCCGGACACACAACAGAATCTCATGCAAATCAGGAGATTCCAGGGTCAAGGGCAAAATTGCAGTGAGGTTGTCAATTTGCAGCTGTATCCAAATCTTGATCATGGTATCTGTGTTGAACCTCCATCCTAGAGCGTGCTTTATCCCCAGGCGCCAGTGGAATTTTCTGCCAACTCACAGCTCACTAGGCGTTGCATGTGCAGGCGTTCGACTCGTTCGGAGAAACCAACCCGCACAACCCCAGGGTTCATTCGCGAACATGCTGGGCATCTCAAGCTCACGTCAAATCTCTGAATCCAGCAAAGGCAAAAAACCTGCCCTAAAATTGGCTCCACTTCTTTTCCAATGGAGCCCTGTTGGACATGCCGCTTTCGACCCGCTGTTCAAACGACACCTCCCGTCTGCGGCCAAAGCGCCGTCCACCTCAAGTGGGAGGAAGCGCCCATCTGCCACCTGCGAGGCCAGCACTGCTCCATTGTTTCACCCTTGCTTTGTCAGTTAGAAAGAGAAACCCCCGCTGAAACAAAAGAAAAGAGGAACCTCTTGAGCAGCAATTGGGCGCCACCTTACTCTGCGAGAGTCTTTCATGTTTGTGGATACAACAAACAAAGCTGGCAGCCACAAAGCAAGCGCAGCGCCGAATTTGGAAATAGGAGCCATTGTTGGGCGCGATCCCGCCTTTTGTCAAGCAAAGGTAGGGCGGGGCTTTGTAAGCCTTTAGTTGTTACGCCTTACAAGTTACCATTCCAAAACGCACATCTCCACGTTGTCACCAAGACATGAGGCCGCGGATGAAGGAATTACTGATTCCTGAGCACTTCATTGCGGATTCAGATGAGAGGGGACACATCCCCTAACCATTGCCTTCTTGCATTCTGGCATTCACAAGCCAGCAAGTTAGCCGTGACCACTTCTGGAAACCAACCTGAACAAGAAGCCCGGGCTGAAGCGAACGGAAGCCTCACTCACAATCAGCCCTGAGCCAGGCAGCCCATCCAGCCCCAACCTCCCCAACTCAGCCGCTCAAGTTCCAATTCCTGGCAATCACTTCGCACTGCCCACCAAACTGCTCAGCCCAGCCCTGGCATCAGTTGCTCAAGCCCGCATTGCTCCTACGGTTCTTTTGAGTTTGGCGCGTTGGCTCATGTACCAGTGTGGTGTGACCAACCTTTTCTCAAAACTGGACAAGCGCCCCCCCTTTTGGTACGATCTAAACACTTGCAAGAAACATTCAACCTTTTCTTGTGGTGCCCCCCCCATTTTCAGAAACACTCATTTGAGAACAGGGCGGTTCATTTGCGAGCTTGGGAAAAGTTTGGAGTGCCTCAACACAAACCTGCTTCAACCCTTTAGCCGTTGCCATGGCCACATGTCTTTTTTCTCCATCCCTCTCATTCAACAGCTGTCTGGGAGCTTTTGATCTACCCAGCAACGGAAATACGTGGTTTTCCTATAGAATGTCCTGCAACCCAACATGAGTGTCCTGAGCAACCTTATCATTTGACCCTTCCGAGTGCCGGAAAGACGGTGCGCCGCGCGCGATTTCTCGGGCCTTGAGCCAGCCATCGCCCTCGTCCTCGCCATAGACCTCCGAGTTCCAAGGCCTTTGGCACAGAGTTGTTCAGCTCCCTTGGTCAAAATATGCGGAACCATAGGAGGGGGTAGCAACCATGGAGCAACCATACGGTTGACTCAACAGGAGGGGGTTCCCGATGGTCATCATATGCGGAGAAGCAACCACCCATAGGGGGGGGGGTCCGCGATTTTGAGACACACCCACATAACATCAGCTTCCTTGGATGGTCAAGGGATGCGGGTTTTGCAACCACCCATAGGTTATGGGTTCCCCGATGAGGCGAACAGTACGAGCAAGCCACAGGCGCTTTTTTTCTTGCGCGCTCGGGTTCAACAAGATGTACCAGCTGTTGCCCCAAAGAAAAAACACCGACAGCCGCTGGAGCGCCCGGGCCGGCCAAGGAATTGACATGGCTTTGAAGAGCCTCAAAGGCCACCTAGAATCCCAGCTCCTCCAAAGACCCTCACAATTGGCTCTGGATGGGGCGTTGGGCGTTGGCCTCCAGCCACAGTCTAGTGAGGGTTTTACGTGTTTGGCTTGTGTTCTGCCTTCTAGCACTCAAATAACTCCCAATTGGGGTCACTGGGAAACTGCCCTGAACCGCCAAACCACCCGGCTCCACCCTTTTTGTAAGCTGAAACACGGAGCTTGGGTCCCAAGACCATACTACCCGGCATTTGACTCATGCTCAGCCTTCAACCACTCTCTGGGCTCCGCTGCGCGCCGCCAAGCTCACCAGGGCGGGGGTCCTGTCAGACCAGTCACAGCCCCTGAGTGATTTCCAGGTGCAGCACCAGTGGGAAGTTGGTTGGGCGTCTGTCCTCCCCAACCGGTGGGAGAGAGAAGCTCTCTCCATTAAAAAAAGGCCGAATGATTTGCGAGTTCGGGCCAGGTTGGTGCTGCAGGTGCTGGTCAGGGTGCTGTTTTGGTGCTTAAGGTGCTGTGGTGGTTGCTGGCGGTGCTTGTTTTGCGATACAGACAGCATGCTGTTGTGGGCGCTGGTCAAGGTGCTCATGGTCAGGGTGCGGTTTGCTGCGCTCAAGGTGCCGTGGTCGTTTTGGATGCTTATTTGGCGCTGCAGTCAGGGTGCTGCTGGTCAGGGTGCTGTGGGTGCTGGTCAGGGTTTCGTTGTGGGTGCGAGTCAGGTTGCTGTTCTGTTGGTGGTCAGGGTGCTGCGCCAGCCGTTGGCGGCGCACTTGTTTTGCGACTCAGTCAGGGTGCTGTTGCTGGCGCCAGACTGGGTGCTCGGTCAGTTTGTTGCTATTGGTGCTGAGGGTGCTGTTGCTGGTGTTCTCAGGGGGCAATTTGGTTGATCAAGGTGCTTTTCGGCAAGCTCCAGGTGCGGCAGGCACTTGCTGAGCTTGCTGTATGGAGGCCCCCTTTGGAAGTAAGAACCGCTTACAGCTTTCTGCCGGGGAACGACAAACAAATGACAAGGTGATTCTCAAGATGTTGCTTTGGACCGGCAACAATGACAGCGAGTTCCCATATGTGTCTTCTTCGTCTAGCCCCTCTGGCAGCACGCTATCTCCCAAACTGAGGCTCGTCTTGGACCGCAAACAAAGAAACGGAAACAGACTCACACTGTGAACAGGGTTGCTCACGATGAGCCAAAAGAAGCTCCGCCATTTTTCAGGCAAGTCTCGCCCCCATGTCCCGACCTTCCCGAGGTACCCCAGACTCGGGTGGAGTCTACCCGCGCCTTGTCGCGCAAGTCTTTGGTGAAGCGGTAGGCGAGACCACCACCGGAGGAGTTCAGCCTCGAGGCTTCGACATCGGCGACCCCCCGCTCGGACACGGCTGGCCACGTGCGCACGCGAGCGGCCAAGGCCTCACTTGAGGGAACCAGATGAAAGGAAGCTTTCGCCGGTGGCCCAAAAATTCGGGGTGAGCTCGCTGCTCATCCGACATGTTTGTCTCTTGGCCCAGCGGAAGCCCTTGATGAGCACCAAGTGACGAGAGATGGCGATTTGAAGGCATCGTGTTCGAAGCCATGAGGGTCGTTGAAAAAGGGCATCTGTCCATGGTCAGCCCGCCCTAGTTCGCCCACCAAAAGCCCACCGTCAGTCCACCTGGGTCTCAAAGCACGTACGATTCGTGACAATGTGTTTGTTGATCTCAGGGCAAGTCATTCAAACTCTGCCAAGTTTGGAAGAGATTCATGAGCAAGAGCACCTGGTTCCCCTGTGCATCGAAATACGTGAAATGAGGATTCCACGGAATTTCCCAATGGCCTTACCCCGAGGAAATTGTGCAATCCAAACATCAGCAGCTTTTTTGCTTATTGTGAGGTTGTTGACATGGAATCCTGGAAATCATGGGCTCTGTTGATATAAGTGGATGCGCTGTTCGAAGCACATGTCGGTTTCTCAAAGAGTGTCCACCTCATTTTGGCACATGGCAGGGATGTTTTAACACCAAGGCCAACGACCCGTTCTGAGCATTCCGCTTGGAGATAGCCGTTGCGACTGGGGTGCCGTGCCAGGTGTTGTCAACCAGGTAGCTCTTCCGCACCTCAGGTTGCCCTGTTGAGTCCCACGCATGTAGCTCCAAAACCGAAAGGACCCAAAAGCCTGGGCTGCAACCCCCTGTTGTTTGTAAGAAAAATCCCACATGAAAAGCAAATGGACGCAAAACAGGATTCGCCCTCCCCCCTTTGGCCAACCAAAAAGAGGTCCATCTTGAGTCTTCGACGTGGGGCTTTTCGGACTCCTCCCGCCGCAATTTCATGGCCCTTTTCAATTGCACCGACAGAGCCAAGACGGACTCCTCGTTTTGATTTGAGGGCATGTTTTTTCCCCCCCACCCCCGTGCGCAGGGACACCTGCGCCTACAGGAAGCCACCCAGTTTGGAAAAAAATGACTTGGCAGGACCGAGACGAAATCAAGGGTGATCACCTGCTTGGGACCTTCACTAAACATGCACCAGAAAGGGACACCAGAAGGTGAAACAGGTGAACATGGCGTCCTTTGCTTGGTGGCTGGAGGCATTTGGCCATGGGTCAAAATCCCGTCAGTGAACATGCCAATCCCCACTATAGACTAAAACGGGTGGTGAATTCACCTACCCCAAAAATGGGATACCATTGGTTTTGACCCACTGCCAGTTTGGGGGGGTCCAAATTTAAAAAAGGACGAGCCGCCCCTTTCCTTCAAAAAGCTGAGCTGCGCACCACAGGCTTGGCCCAGTGGAAGCCGTCCCGGGTGTCCAGGAGCGGGACCCAACCTAGGCCAACCGAAGCAACTGGCACCCATCTGACCTACAAAGGGGCACCTACTGTGGATGGACGAAATCTGGCACCACCTAGAGAAACCTAAAAATGATTCTTCCCCTGCAAATACCAACAATGGTTTGTCAAGGTTTGCTAGGTGGTGCAGGATTTTGTCCATCCACAGTATGGTTGCAGGAAGCATGCGGGATGTGATGCTGACCCCGGATCTAAGCCGAACCCCTGGTTGATTTTGATTCATTGCGCTGACCATGAGCCAAGATGGAATAAAGCCAATCTGAGTATTTCTAGCCAGAACTATTTCTATAAAGTGGGCCACAGGAAACTGCGCCACCTACCGAGTTCATTTCTCCAAACAATGGTGACTCTAAGAACAACCCAACATACCGAAATATCCGTTAAGTAGTTTCCCCCTTCGAACCCGTCCAATGCCAACCTTTCTATCTGTCTTTCAAGTCAGTTCTCCAACCCCTCATATTTCTCAAGCCCTGAAACATGGCTTCTCACTTGCCAACCTTGTCCCCTGCACGCACACACACACCCACCACCGCTCTCCCCACGCTCCCCCCACTCTCCCCGCCAAGTCCGGCCTGGAGGATCCTTCACCAGTCCCCGGACACGGTCCTCTGAGACGCAGTTCAGCACCTACCCGGACCCAGGTCCGACACGTCCATCCACTTCGACACGAGCGACCGGCCACGGAAAGAACCACGAAATAGAGGGTATGGGTCAAAACGTTCAACCAGACCGCAGGTTTCAATTCTAGCTTCATTTACTGGGGTTCCATTTTTGGGTGCCATTTTTGACCCACAGCCATATCGGTCGCAGAACCGATATAAAAATGGCCCTAATCTGAAGCGCCAACACGTTGGTGAGCTTGCCTCCCAGCTGCCACGCAGCGAATTCAGAATGATTTGAGCCCATGAAGATTCCCCTAGTTTCCTACCATGCCAAGCCATCATGGTGGCTACCCACTTGCTCCAAGTCGCTGATACAGCTGGGTACTTTCTCATTCAATTTCAACAGACCAATGAAAATAGTGTCCGTTGCGAGGTTTTGCTCGGAAGGTGCAAAGGGAGAATGCTATGCTCAGCCACCCGATGCATGCCGGTTGGTTGCCAAGGTTGCAAAAACTGCTCCTCTCCCCCGTACGCTCGTTTCAAACCTCCCGCCCAAAATGCTCTCGCAGAATTGGCCTTTTGGGGGGGTCAGGAAGCCTCGAACTTAGTGAAGCGGCTCACTTCGCCGGCATTCGCAGATTTTGAGCGCGGGTGCCTCAGATGACTTCGGTGGGTTCCAAACACCAGTCACCCTTGGGAAGACTAAGCTAGTGGTCTAAACTATCCAACGATTTCTGAAGAGTCCTATTGGCCACTCCTTATGGGAAGCAAAAAAATGGACAAGGAGCAACCTTGGGCGTCGCTTTGTGTGACGCAGCAACGAAATGGGGCAAAGAAAACACAAACCTTCCCCGGGTTGAAGAGCAACTCCGTCAGCTAACCCCTGGTGAGGCCCGGCTCCTCATGTTTCGCGCGCTCGCTCGCGCGCTCGCTCGCGCGCACGCTTTTGCGCCTCTTCCACGGAGATCCGCTGGCCGGCCGCGATGTGGCCCACGATGTCCCGGTCCGTGCAATTGGTGGAGGTGCTGTACACCGCTGTGCTCTTCACCACCTGGCTATGTTTGGGCGTCAGAGAAACTGAGAGCCTGGGAAAAGAGATCCCAACACCCAAAGAACGTAACCCCAAACGTTCCAAAGGGTCTCTAGCCCTGACACATGCCATTCAAAGTAAGGGGCTGGAAGGGCGGGGCACGATCCATCCATTGGTTCTTGGCTCCTGTGCAAGTTTTCAACCGGTCGGTTGAAAGTTACAACACTTGAGGTCATAATCCAAACCTGGCATTCAAATGGTCTACCCAGACTAAAGAATTGCAAAGGCGACGAAGGCACCCCATTAACTTCATCTACTCAGGTTTTGAGGAAGTGACTTGAAATCTTCACCCCAAGCCAGCGCCATCGATTTGGAGGGACAAGTTGTCGGATGCACCTGGGCCACAAGGGACCCAAGAACCCTTGTGGTACGGAGACATGCTTGACGGACGAACATCACACAAAGCCTTGCCTCTCCATGGAGAAATTTGGCGAGGTCCCCCTTGTCTTTTTTGTTACATTCCTGTGGGACATGCTCACGAGTTTGGGACCATGGGACCATGGACTGAACATGTTTGACAGCTGCTGTCACAAACAAAACCAAAGGGAGACCATCAATTTGTTGCCTGGTTTTCGGAAAGCACCCACGTGGTTCGCGCATGCACGGACCTCATCCCCTCTGAGTCTCTCAAAACAGAAGAAACCCCTCAAAATGCTTAGTTTCCCGCTGGCCTCCCTTTAAAACCAACCACAAAACGTCGTTCCTTTTAAAAAAGACATTGCTCTGTGCTGCTGATGAATGGGCCTTGCGCAACCAACACGTCCGCGTAAGCAATACCTGTCTCATGCCCTTCAACAGAGTCGTTGGGTCCTTTTGCCTTTAAACTCAGAAGCCGAGAAGTGTCTACTCGCCGGCAGCACGGTGTAGAGACCCGGCTGCATGTCCTGCGCATTCAAGGCGCTTTCAACGCGGGTCGCGACATCTGTCTGGCGATTTAGGCGGTAAGGGGAACCAACCAGAAGTTCCAGCCTTGATCTAAGACAAAGCTTCCAATCACTGGGAGAGGCCCAGTTCTCGAGGACCGGAAAAGATGTGGCACGGGCATGTGCATCTGGTATATATCCCTAGGCAAGATGGCCGAGATCTTGTAAGGCACAACCTTTACCAAAAAAACAAGACCGATTTTTAAAACAAGACCGCACTGCTTCAAAGTGTTCTCCTTTTTTTTGCAAGTGGGTGTCTCTTGTGTGTGGTCTTGGACCCCAAAATGGCTTTGGTCTTCCATTTTTCTCCCTGAAACATACCCCCAAAAAAGGGTATCCTCAAAAAGCGACACACCCAAAATGCACTTTGGAGATTGCTGGATCTTCCCATCGGTCCGCATGGGCTGTCCCTTCGGTGCTCGGGCTTTCCCTCTCTCTCGCCTCCGGGGGAGGCGCCGGAAGACCCGCAGACGGCACCTGAGTCCATCCACCCCCCACAAGAACCTTCAAACCAAACGGGTGGGTCTAAAATCGGCGAACCCCAAAATGGAACTCTGGTAAATGGAAACATGGACGTTTCAACCTGCGGTCCATATCCTGGTGGTTTAATTTTGACCCACACTCCAAACCACCAATCCAAACACACCAATTAAGCCTTACCTGAGGTGCCTTTTGGGGCTTCCGAGATTGAGAACCACCAATTCAGCGCTACCTGAGATGCCTTTTGGGGTCGATCCGACATTGGGAGTGTGATCCTTCCGAGATTGAGATCCTTCCGAAATGAAAATGGAGGGGGTGGAGAAATGACAACAAGAAATTGGCAACAATTCGCTGCGGGGGTCCGGAAAACTTGTTGGGCACAACAACGGAAGCGGGCCCGTTTCTCGCCCCAATCCAGGGCGCCTCAAGAGGCGCTTGGGGCCCCCAACCCCGCTGTGAAGGCTGGCGCCGCGGAGCGCGGTCCCGATCCCATCTCGCATCACCTGCGTCAAGATTGACCCTACTAGATGCCTCAACCAGAAGGGAAAACCAGGGCCCGCTTTTTTGTTGGTTTTACCAAACTAACGAACAAGGACATGAGCCAAACTTTGTGGAAACATCAGTTGCCTTTGTCTTTGGACCCCCGAAAAGCTGAAGTGTTGATTGGGGAAATGGTTTTGATCCAAAACCTCTCAAAATTGGGTCCCCCTAAAACGGGTCCATTTGCAAACACCCCCCACCCACCCATTCACCCCCACCGTACCACCACCGCCGAAAAACACTGCACCACGCAACTGCAAGAAGGCGGCGCTCCTTGGCATACGGGGGATCTCCCAGATTCATAAACTCCTAGCCCTCACAGGCAGCTACCCGTTCTGACACAACAACCATTTGTGCCCCTGATGTACTCAACATTTTTTTCAGAAAAATGTTGAACCACATATTTGAATTAATTGTGACAACAAATTTGTCATACAACAACGGTTTGTGCCCCTACAACACAGGCAAGTTCAACCAATTGTGACCTTGCCAGTTCGCCCTTGCCCTTTTTTCTCAACTGGACCTTTGAACTCAGCAAGCTGTTTGGTGGCTAATACCTCCCACCCCTAGGATTTGCAGAAGCCCCTCCACCCCTGCACCTAGGATTTACAACCTGCTCCAACCACTTGCTGCCTTTGACTTTTGGAGTTTTCACCGACCCTTGGACACCAGACTTCGGGGAGATTTATGTACTAGAACCGGGGCTGTGTCATTTCGAGGATACCTGAGTGTGTCTCTTTTTGGGGGTACACCTGTGTTGGTGGTTTCAGACACCAAAAGGAAAGGCAATCATTTTGGGGGGCCAAATCCAAAAAGACAAAAGACACCCCCAACCACCCTTTGCGGGCTATTGGGAAAATCGAACAGCCAAGCCACCCATTTGGCCACGGGTCCAAATCCAAATCGTACCCCCAGTGAACATCCCAATCCCCACTAGAATAGGTTCTAAGATGAGTGATGCACCCACCCCAAAATGGGATCCCAGAACGGTTTTGACAACCACAGCCAAGTTGCTTCTCTACCATCTTGGGTTCGACTGAAGCAAAACCCCATGGGGAAGCGATGCCTGTTGACTTTTCCACAAAAAAAACGGGGAAACCCACTCAGACTTGGATCCAATGCCTTTCACAGCGTGAGCTCCTTGCCTCGTACTCCAGCTCCCCTTCCGCCGGCGCCACCCGCGAGGAGCTCTGCAACTGGTCGATGCGCCGCAGCCAGCGACCCGTTGGCACCGCCTCCAGGGCCAGGAGCTCCGTCTTGCCCAGGGTGTCGTCGTTGAACATGTTGGAGTTGAACACCTCACATGAGTTTTCTGCGAATGAATTATTTTGGGTGTGTGTTATTTTTTTCCTGGAGCAAGAAAACCAGCAACGAATCATCGTGGGACACTTCTTTGGCTTCAAAAGGGTGTCCTCACATGTTTCTCCAAAGCCCAAAGGAAGACCCGCCATTTTGTGGTCCTATGTCACACACTCCCAAAGATGAGGCAAACAATTGAAACGAGAGAAGCATACGTCAGCTCAGAACACCAACAGCCCCGCGCTTTCCAGCTTGGCCATCTTCACCCATTTTCGGCATCCCGTTTCCCGGGCAAGGGACCGCGAATGGCCGGCGAAAACGGGTACAACTCCAGTCTTCAAGGAACTCCAAACCTGGGATTCAACGGCCGGTGAAAAATCGGGTCACCCCAAAATGGCTTGCCCTGGCAAAAGGGATCCATGGACGTTTCAACCTGCGGCCCGATCCCTGGTGGATTTGTTTGACCCATACCCAAGTTACATTCTCTGCATCAGGTTGGTCCAAGATGTACGATGGCCCCCGTTGACCTGGAACAACCCAAAGCACCCGGCTGAGCAACCCACCTCCAGCTGAATTTTGGCGCTAGGGTCCTCCACCTGAAAGGTGAAGTCCCGTCCAGCCGTCCACACCGGATTCAGCTCGTTGTCGATCACCGGGGTCTTCTTCTCCTCCTTGCCGAAACGGACCACCACATAGGGGTCCGACCTGAAGGAGCGTCTCCGATTTTTTCAAGACATGAGCCGCCTGCTTGCATCATTCGCCAAACTTGCGCCGGCATGTCAATTGGACTACCCTCCCACCAGCTAACATGGAAGTGCACAGACCCCTCTACAAAGACTAGTTTCCTCTTGGAAAGGGCCTTTTTGCACTTCCATGTTAGTTGATGTATGGGCAAACTTGCTAACATCTCAGATTCTGAACGAAACCAATTGGAGCAGAAGGGCTTGTTGCCAAAGAAGCCCCCGTAGTCCGTGTTCTTCAGCGCCCGTGCGCAGTGGACCCGCACGTGCAGCATGGGCCCCGTCGACTTGCTGGCTGGGCTGGAGGCTGGGCTGCCTTTCACTGTGGGCGAGCGTGTGTCCAGCTTAGAGATCTTGATTGGCTCAGAGGCCGGCTGTCCCAGCAAAGCTGGAATGGGGGCCGATGGGTATGGCATCTGCAGCCGCGCTGGCTGCGACTGCGGCTGCTGCGGCAACTGCTGCTGTGGGAACTGCTGCTGTGGGAGCTGCTGCTGTGGGAGCTGCTGCGGCAGTTGCTGAGACTGCAGCTGGTGCTGTGACTGCCACTGCTGTGACTGAAGCACCTGCTGGTGCGGCTGCGGCCCAACCGCAGCTCGCGGGGCCAGCACAGAGGCTGGTGTGAGACCCGCCGGCGCCGGTGCTTGCATGGCCGAGACGGGCATGCACAGCATCTGCTTCTCGGGGGAAGAAAACCAGCCCCAGAGGGAGGAGGATGGCTGCGGTTTGCCGTCGAAGGCCCAACCTCTCCCGTCCCTCAGCCTCAAGAAAGTGACCTCCCCAACCACCAGCCTTGGCTGAATCAGGGGCCCTCCAAACCGACGACATCAAGCCGGCTGTTTTGGGAGAACCAAAGCAGTAAAAATGCAAAACAAGACACAATCGCGCGCGTGCAATCAAATACCAAAAAAAACATGCGCAAAATCACAAACAAACAAACAGACACACACACACACACACACACACAAACACACACAACCCCACACAACCCCACACAACATGACAAACTCAATTACACAAACCATCCTGCACGGGCACACAGGTGCGCACGCCAATTGCAGGCATCGCATCATTAGTATCATTACATGAGCATTGAAGTAAATCTTTCAGCATGGGCTGGCGTGATCATGCCGAATACAAATATGTATTGATCTTCAAAATAGTGAGGCTTGAAGAGTCAAGCTGTTTCACTTTTTGTCTATCAGTATCATCTCACAGTTCTAGTATTTCAGAGCAAACTCTACACCATGATACTTAAACTAATCTCATTGAGGCAAGTGCTTAATAACATGGGTTGAACTGGACCCAAGCTTGGCATGCGCTTCTATAACTTCTATCCTTAACTCTTTGCTTGCACACAGAGCAATGTGGTTGACTCGACTCCAAGGTGGTCAGTTATTCGGAAGTGGATCACTGTGGGCATAGCTATGCACTTGGCGTCCGGAAAGCTGAAAACAAAACTGCAGACGCCAAAAAGCTACAGGATGGATGCGCCAATCTCAAGACATGGACATGCTCAGATGGAAGGCTTGGGCTGACAAACAGGCGCCTTGGGTAGCTTGAGCTTCATGAATGTGTACACCCACCAAGGTAGCACACGCAAGCGCCAACGCACACACACACACACACAACATACACACACACACACAACCACGCACACAGACACACAGAAAAAAAAGAGACAAACAATGCAAGCGCGCACACACACACACAGATTTTGAACCCAAACTGCGCCAAGCGCGGGCTTAGCAGCTTCTCCACCACCTGGAACCTCTCCCCCGGCTGCAGGATCTGCCCGGTGCTCGGCTTTTCGAGGGAGGGCTCCTGGCGCAAATTCAGCGGCGCGCCGTCGGGGGAGCGGAAGATCCAGTCCTCCGCGACCTGATTCCGCGCCGAGTGCTTGCGTCGCCTTGGAGCCTATGCTTCACCCCAGGGCTCCCGACATTTCCCCTGAAAACATCAGCTTTGTGAAGGGAAGCTCACCTTAAATGGGCAAAAAAGGTGATCCTCCAAAAAGGGAAATATAGGGACCCCTGCTGCAGGTGGCGTCTTCCTCGATGGCGTCTTCTTGAGGGGCCCCTGTTTCTCGATGTCTCGTGGTGTGTTTTTTTTGGGAAATCTGCAAGGAAACCCGAAGGGAAAGCCGAAAGGAAAGCCGGTTGTTGGTCGAAAGGCATCCGGGTGAGGGTGTTTTGGCTTTCCTTTGCCAGCCTGAAAGTGCAAACGTGCGGCTCTTCAAGCTTGCTCACATCTTTGTGCTGTGCTCTACACAACCCTCCGAGTGGACAGTGATGTTCTTCGGAAGCACATCCAAACCGTTTGGTTGCATACCAGACTTCAGCGGGAGAGACGGGATTCTCTTGCTCGTGCTGGCCCGCGCACCACATGTTGCTTTATTCTTACGTCTCGTCCTCTAGGTCCCACAAATGGCAAGAAAGGGATCGTTGGCCCCTGAATTCAATCCAATGGACACTTGAAGTGTTCATCTCATCCCTCCCCTGCGGACAGGATTCGAGGCCCAACGCGGGGTGACTTATGGTGGACTCGCCCCTGCTATTTTCGAGGAGATCCTGTCTTATTCATTCTTGGGCAGGGACCCGTGTCTAGTTGCAGTCCTGTGCGTGGAAAGGAAGACCCCTCCCAGAAAACAACCAAGGTCAAGGGTTTTGTGGGAAGATCGGCGCCGAATTCCACGAGCTGCTTGAGAAAAGAACAAGCACCCATCTGAAGGCCACAAACAGCACCCCGCCTGGGAGCCCGGGTGTCCACCGCTCCGCATCGCATGGATGCGCCGCTCCTGCGCATGGTGAACCTCTTCGAAGAAAAACAAAAAAGCAAGTGAAGTTTCCGGACAAACACCTGAGTTTACCGGGCTTAATCAGGTTTGCCAAGTTTAACACCTCAGGTTTCAATCACTACAATTCACCTGTGTGAAGAGCTCCCTAACCTTCATCATGCGGCTCTGAGATCTGGGACATAACTCTTCGAGAGGTCCTTGCAACCCAGCGATACGTCACACATGGACAACTAAGTCGTGCGGCCGGGTGGGAAAGGGTGTCCTTGTTGGCTTGGCAACTCGTGGGGAACCAGGGAAAGGGGAAATCTGATCACACCGCAAAACAACCACCGCAGATCTGCCAAAGATCCGCCACGCGAATTGCAGATAATCATTGCAACCTTCTCATATCTATCAACATCGCCATGTTTGGCGCTGTTCTCTCTTGTGAATACCCGCAAGTCATTGAAAGACCGGGGACTTCCTAGCAAACACCCCAAAACCAACGTCTTGGTGAACATTGTGAATTGGCAAGTTCCACTCCGCGCCAGCTAAATAGTAGTGGTTTATCAACCAGTGTGCAGATCGGGGTTCATCCATCCCGCTGGTGCCTGGCGATTTGATTTGGACCATCCACATCCATGGCCAAGTTTGGCTATGTGTCAGCGGCCCCCCAAAATCGGTGGTGTCCCTTTGGCTTCTCTTTGAACTCAGCCAAGCAAGCGGTCGACACCAGCCACCCTGCCGGGCCCCTTCCCAAAGCCACCTCGAACCACTCCGGAGACTTGTTCTTGGCAAAGACCCGCTCGCAGTTGGGGGAAGAACACCCAACCCCACCTGTATTTGTGGTCTTTTGTCAAGTTGGCGAGCCAAACGGAAAACCAGAATTGTTGTGGGGTTCCCTGAATTTGGCACATGAGTCTGCGGCTTTAAAAGGGAAACCAAAAGGGTTGCAACCTTAATTTGTGTGGGAAACAAAAAGTAATTCCACTGTTTCTTGGAGGGGCGCATATTAGTCAACCCCAGTTTATTCATTGCGGAGTCTCCCTGGGTTTAGTGGGGAATTTCTCACCTCTCTAGGTGCCCCCCATGAAAAGAACCTGGTGGGTTGCTGACTCTCAAGCTGCCCCATTCGTCCCTCGCCTCCTCGGCCAGCTCCTGCCGCAGCTTCGCCAGCTCCGCCGAGCCCAGCGCCGGCCCCGGAAGCGCCGGAGAAGGCGGCGGAAGCGGCGCGGGGCCCAGGGGCCCCCCGGGGCCCCCGGGGAAGCCCCCGGCCATGGACGTCGGCCGAGGTCAATCGATGGCTGGGGATGGGTTGGGTGGCGTTTAATTAGGTGACTCATTGAAATTGACTGCGTGTGTGCTTTTGCTCTTCTTTTTTCGGCTTGCGTGGTTGGAAACCCGCGCCGAGCCCAAGAGCAAGGGGGCTTCAGCGGCTGCTTTTCACTTTCTGAGCCAAGGAACCAAAAAACAGCCAAGCTGAGCTCCGCAACCAGGAAATCCCCATGATCCTTGCTCCTTGAATGGCTCCTGAAGTGCAGGCTTCATGTGCCGAAGTCGCTTGCTCTCGCCCAGAAGCCGACGTCTGAGCCATGCGGCACGTCACTGGACCCTGATTAGTTTCAAAGCGGCACCGCAACGCACCAACATCTCCTTCATCCCAAAGGCCCAAATCAAACTGTTACAAAGCCGTCCGAGATGAACAAATAAACAAGCAACACTGCTGTAGAGATCTGCGTTCAAGGTCAGCAGCACTATGTACTCAGGTCCAACAGGGGCAAGCTGAAGACATCAAGTCGGACCGACTGGGCAGCTTCTTTTGTTTTTGCGAGCGATCTTAGATGAAGTGCTTCCTCTCGTAGTACTGCATCCTGTGACATCGCGTGTGGCACGAGCACAAACACGCATAGAGGAACATATAGACACGCACGGGCGGCCGCACGCACAAACATGCATGAACTGCGCCAAAGGCGCTTTCTCGTTCTTATATTCCCATGCTACATCAAAGGCTACAACGGAAATCTGATGGTGCTGAGGTATTTCTGCTTTGCCCAATGTGACAAAACGAGCCGTCTACGACATGGGGAGGTCTCCAAATGGGAATCACTGAGGGACGGCCCCTGGAAACCAACCAAAAAGAGGTCCCCCAACGCCCCTTCCCCCCAGAAAATGAACAAATAAAACTTACCCCTTAAAGCTCCAAGCCCTGGGGAAGTTAATCTTTTACAGACATATAGCCCATGTTACCCCCAAAAAGTTGAACTGTTGTGTTTTTAAGAGGTAAGACAAATAGCACTTGCCTGATTTGACAGCAAGATGCGATCGGGTTTGGCTGCGGTCTCCGTGGTCCGACCCAAAAGCAAACCCAAAAGCAAACGCCCCGCGCGGCACCCAAAAGAAAACAAGCACACACTGCCAGCCTGAAACCACTTTCCAGCCACTGCAAAAAGTGAGCAACTGAGCAGCTGAGCAAAAGGCAATACATGATCGGTTTGGGGTGGGCCATCTGTCGGTGTTAGCGGTCTGAGGTTGGTGTATCAGTTTTAGGCCAAGCTTTCCGCTTTCGAGGTGGCCCGCAGTCTGCTATATGGCCTATTCCTTGCGTACCTTGCGTATGAGGATGTGCGAAAGAAAACAAAAAAGAAAAAAAAGAAGGAGAGTTAAAAAAAAGAAGTACAAAATAAAAGTCAAAGTGGGCAACCCTTTCTACGCCTCTAGACAGTTCCAAGGAATAAGAAAGCTATGACCATGGCCCGCAAGAGTTTTGACACGTGCCATTGGTCTTTCTCAAACTGTGAAAATTATGAAACCTTTTCGAGCTTCGTTTTGGTTTACCGAAGGGAAAAAACCAACCGCCAGCCACGACCCAACGATGGCTGATCGGCCGGGGCCGCCCACCCTGCCGACTTTTTGGGGGGGGATAGACACCATCTGCGCATTTCTATTTGGGATACGCCCGATTTTCCCTTGGGCCTCTTCCAGAAACCCTAAGACCCAGAGGACGTGAGTCTTTTCTGCTCGCAAAATGAACCTGAATGCTTAGTAGCAGCTCGTGTCTCTCACCAACCTCAGGGCACCCTCAAAAACTCACACCAACCATTTGGGCGCCTCGTTTTGTTTGTCCGTGTACCTGCCCCCTTTTGAAGGTTTTCGAGGGAAACAAATCGGAAAACCACCAGTTTGCTATGGCGCGGTCCGCCAAAAAGACGATTTGGGTCCCCCATTTGAAGTGAAGGGCTATACCTTATACGCCAGCCGACCCATTCATTCGCCTGTTCCACATGAGCGCTCCGATGACCACCACCGACACCACCAGGATGAACAACATCCAAGTCCTCGGATGGCGGTTAGAACCCAGCATCCTACTTGCGCGCTTTTCGTGAGGGTAGGAAAACCACTTCTTCTTCTTCTTCTTCTTCTTCTTCTTCTTCTTCTTCGTCTTCTTCCTCTTCTTCGTCTTCTTCTTCTTCTTCTTCCTCTTCTTCTTCTTCTTCCTCTTCTTCCTCTTCTTCTTCTTCTTCTTCTTCTTCTTTGTTTTCTTCTTCTTCTTTTTCTTTCCTTTTCTTTTGGAGGGGTGGGGTCCGTACCCCGATTTTCACAGATGCCCACTGGCACAAAAGGGGCGCTGGGTTGGAAAGGTACCTTGGCCCGACGTCTTTGCGAAATCGCTTCGGCCCGTCGCTTTGGGCGCAAAGATTTCTGCCCCAAGTCTAGGGACCTATGAGAACGGGTCTGTCTCAACTTAAATCGGGAGACCCCCAAAATGGCTTCGGCTTCCCTTTTGGTTTCCTTTTTTAACACCAACCAAACAGGGGTACCCCCCAATCAAGACACACCTGCAAATGTCTACTGCGAATTCCCGAGGGGTTGATCTGTACAGGTCCTACCTGGTGATCCCTGCAAAATTTGCCGAATCCTCAAATTTGGGGAGTTCTATGAAGGGTTATAAGCAAGCGCTTCACGCGGGTTTTGCTTACGCGCCCTCTCTACCAAAAACAACAACAACATGGAATTCCAAACATCACCCGCTGAAGCCACAGGCCCCCGGTTTTCACGCACCGAAAAGCTCGCTGTCGTCTCTGGGGGCCAGGGGGCGACTGCGAGCTTTTGGCCACCACCTAGCGCGGAATCGACTCTGGCTGGTTGGTTTTTACAGCCTGCTGTCGCAACATGTGTAGCAGTAAAGTCACACACACACACCAATAGAAATATGAAACGAATGAACATAGGTATGCCTGTGGAGTTCTTGGTTTGAAGGAGAACCTGCCGTCCTGAATTGACTTACCCAAACCAAACCATTGTTGCTTCAACATAGACTCGTTTGGGGAATCAATGCATGTGGACAACCCCAAGAAAAAGCGTGAGTTGTATTCAGGGCAGCCCCTGTCCTCACTAGAAATCAATGAACATCCTTCGCTGGGATTCCCAAAGCAGGCGGATGAATCTGCAGTCCGAGCAGTTGACATGTCACACATGGGTCGGTCTCACGGGAAATTCTCAGAATGGGGGGTGGTTTCCTGCTGGGCTTGTAAGACAAATTCAACAGGGTATCGTGAAAAAGGACACCCACAGGCAAGTCCCACATTTACTCCATTTCTCAACTTGCAGCCGAAAGCCGCACAGCCAAGTACTCTTATTCCGACACACCTTCGTTCATGAACTACCAGCTGGTGCGTGCGATGCTTAGCAAGCTGGTAAATCCCTGCTCAAAAAGTGCCATCCAACTAAAAGCTTGAGCCAATATTCCCAGGTGGCCATGGGTTAAAAAATCCAAAACGACCAGTGAACATCCCAATCCCATGGTAAATACCTCCTTTGTTAGTAGCGGGTCGACATGATACCCTGAAAAAAGAGGGTATTTGGAGTTGGGGGTATGACCAACCAATTTTTCCTTCATCAGCTCCGCGCTCCGCCCGGTCAGCCCGGGCGTAGGCCCCTGGCAGATTGCTCCAGCGTCCTGGTCTGGTCCACGATCCTGCCGAGCATAGAGGAGCCGCTGGCCTGCCGGATCCCGAGCTGGGTGAAAGTGAGGTCATTCAAAAGGTGAACCAACCTACCCTCCCACTAACTAACATGGAAGTGCAAGAAGGCCCTTTCCAAGAGGGTCTGTAGTCTTTCTACAGGGTCTGTGCACTTCCACGTTAGCTGGTGGCGGGGTAAATGGTGGGCTTGGGCCTTCCCGGACCCCAAATTGGTGATGTTTTGGATACCCACACCTGCTAACCCAGGCAGGCGTAGAACGAGGACTACAAATATCCAAATTGCAGTCTCATCAGCCAGAGCAAGTGGGCGGCATGGAGTGGGGACACTCTCAAAAGGAGTTCCCTCTGTTGCGGAGGGTGCTGCAATCGCGCGGTCGGCATCGTCGACTCTGATGCCAGTCTATCTGCGACCTCCCCAGTCTTGCTGGAGATCTCTTATGAGAGACGAAGTGCCCCGGAATTCGCAGAGTCTTTGTAAAGAACCATAAGGACATGAGAAATCAACCCTAAGAACCATGGCCAATCACAGGATTTGTTTCTTCCGCAGAAAGTGCTGGCATTTGTGTGGGCCACCTTGCTTGACACATGTGGGTGTGTCTTGCTATGAGGGTACCCCTTGCGTGTGGTTTGAGAACCACAAGGACGACTGCCAATTTGGGAGGCTCTCCCCAAACTGAGGAATCGCTGGGCGAGACGGGCCGTCTGAATGATGCTTGGCCAATCCGATGGAGAAACCAAGGACAATATCCTTATAGCAAGACTTCCGGGCTCTCAACATCCCAACTTGGGGGTAAAATATTTTAGCAACATTTCGGCCATCTAGCTGTGCCATTCTAAATGGCAGCTATGTGTCAAAGGGCCTTCCAAATTGTCGATTCCCTTTTTGAGTATCCGAAGAGGACGGCCGGATTTGCTTCACTCACCCCAAACTCAAAACCTGGCTCCCTTTCAACATCCAGAAGAGGGTCCATGCCCTACTTTTGAGTATGCTCGCATCCACCACTCACCTCACATGTCCGCCTTGTCGGTTTGCTGCTTCACATCGTTCAGGTTCTTCTGCACGGCCTGACCGCTGTCCAGATCAGGACGGCGTTGGTCGGCTTCTTCGTCACCCAAAAACCAAAGAGGTTGGCATGGCAACCAGGGAGAAATTGATTTTTGTTTGGGGTCCCCTACTTCGACACCTACATAGGGTTCTGAATTCCAACCAAGCAAAGTCGTAACTCAAATTGAAAAGGAGCACAGGCTCGTATGATCGCAACCAAAACCTGGCATCAGAAGGTTCTCAGAACCATTACCTCCAAGTAGGTTCCCACCTTGATTGAGTTGTGGGCCCCGAGGTGTTTGTTCCGCTCAGCGTCCAAAGAAAAGAGCATCCCGAAAGGGAATGCCAAGGCAACTCCACCTATCCCCAGTTTCCCTCTACTTGGTGGTTTGGACTGGTGATTTGGTTCTTAAGGAGGGGTTTCCCATTAGCCCCCTACAAAAGCCGTTTCATGTCCAGCCGGGTTCTTATTACATCACCCCGCCCCCGCGCCTCCAGCTTGTGCATGTGGGCCGAGGCCTCCTGAAACCCAACAAGGTCTGGGGACTTGGGACAAATCGGCGGATCGTTTTTTGCGTGGCCTTTTGCAGGAAAGCCAAAAAGAAAAACGAGTTGGGGGTTCCGAGTCCGATTTTGACACCCACCAGCCAAACCCCTTTCGGAGGGGCTCATTTGAAACATTTGAAAAGCTTGGACCCACAACCGGTGCCCATCGATGACTTTCCTTTGACAAAGGTGAGTTGCGCGCGGGCAAACCCATTGGTTTCATCGTGGTTATCAAAAACACCCCGCTATCATTCTAGACCTGCCTCGGAACCCCCCTTTGACCGGGGATTGTGTTTGGGGCCCGTCCTTGTCGAGCAACCTGCGCAGCCCGACCACATGCCCCTGGCGTGTGGGGTCAGCTACGAGCGGCCTGGTGCCACAAAAAGTCCTGCAGATTAACATGGCAAAACAATCGTGTTAGTTTTTTTCTCTCTCTGGCATTTGCAGCGCGCGCACACACGTCCTTGGGCCATGATGTCATACTGCTGGAATCGGGAGTATCCAACCCCTGACTGATCAATGTCCCATTTTAGAGGGAATCTTCTGAGACTCCAAGAAGCTCCGTTTTGGAAGCTCAAATTTGGAAGCTCCAAGATGGAGCTTCTCAGAAGCTCCATTTTGGGGCTTTCAAGCAGCTCCATTTTGGGGCTGCCAGCTCTTTTTGAAGTTGGAAAATGGAGCTGCTAGAAGATTTGGGGGAGTGGCTGAGGGTCAGGTTTTCATCTTTCCTTCTTCAATAAATTGCAGACTTTTGCTAAACTGCAGGTGAGTTCAGCAAAGTTGTTAGAGGCTTGCTATGTCTTGGGCAGCTGTGTGAATGCGTTGCTCAAAAAGATCAATGGCATCAAGACTCACAGAAAGCACAAAGGGTGCAGCACTCGCCCACCCAGCAGCCTGAGTTTGAAGAAGCAGCCTGCGCTGGTGTCGTAGCAATGTAAAACCCACAGTGGCCAAAGCGAACGCCCAGTTGCCTTCTCAATATTCAAGGCACTGGTGGGGCCGGTGGCCAAGCGGTAGGGGAACTGATGAGTTTGGTCGTCGCTCAGGGTGGCTTGACAAAAGAGCAAAGGCATGTTAGCGCCAAAGCGGGCAATTTTTTGGCAGGATGGAAATGCAAAAGCGGTTTGAAGGAAACGATGTCTGGTTGCTGGATAGTGGTACTGCTTGAGCCTTAGCTGAGGATGGTTGTCAAGCGCAGGTCGCTGAACCCTTCGCAGCCGTCGAGGCCAGAGCCCTGGCCCGAGCAAGGCCGACGTAGAAGAGAGGCGTGGCAGCTGAGCGCAACTGTGACACTCTGCTTCTGCTGGAAGGATCATTGTTTGCCGGCAGTGAAGTGAAGCCTTTGCTAGCCAAGCAAGCTCAAAGCCAGAAGGAACAGAAGAAGAAAGGCCTTGCTTGCACTTGGCAAACCTGGCTGAGAGGATGGCATTTTGCATGGGTGGCCAAGGCCTTTGTGGAAGTCTTTGGTGAATCTATGGTAGAAACAGGGGCCTTGAGCCAATGTGTATACGTGAACTGATTGTAGAAAGGTGAATGGTCTGCAAAACACAGCCCCCCCTTTTCAGTGCTTTGATGGTCTCGTCGTTAAGTTGCGGCGCTTGCTGGAAAAGCGTTTGGCTCATTCTGCCAGGCATTGAAGCAAAAAGAAACGTAGACAAGGCAGCCAAAGAACTCTGAAGGGAGCTTGGTCAAAAAATGTGTGTCCACTAATATTGGGCCCAGCTTAAGGCAAAGCATTGGCAAACTTCGCGCAATACCTGGCCAGCATGGGTGTCTGCGCATGCCTGAAAAACGGCAGGCGCCCTATGTGGCTCTCCTTGGTGGAATTGGCCTCTTCAGCTGGTTGAATTTCTCAACGTCGAACACGGTGTCAGGCACGCGCTACGAAAAGACGGAAAAGGTGCAGAATCTGGGGAAGGTACATGTGAGCAGAGCTTGCTGCTGGCCAGATCCTGGTGGAACCTGGGCCGGGCCTTCAAAGATTAAGGCTTTGCTGCGGGAAGAGGCCAAGGGCTTGGGATGTTGAGCGCAAGCTGGCCAGTCCTGAACAAGGACCAAAAAAGCCAAAGATCTGGAGTTTTTTCTTTGCATCCTCACACGGCATTGCTGGATGCCGACCTCATGGAACCCGTTGACAGTCCTCCAAAGTTCGCAGTCGCATCTTCCACAGCCCACGGACGGTGGGGCCCTGCCTCTCAAGACCACCGCCTGCTCGAGTTTGCGCAGACTGCGCGAAAGCATGGATAAAAGTTTAGTTTAGAAGCTCCATTTTTTGTATTTTCAAGCGGCTCGCTCCATTTTGGAAGCTCCATGTTCGAGGCTGCCATTGCCATTTTGGAGCTGCCAGCTCTAAAAAAGAGCTTTTCGGAGTCTCAGGGTCGTTCACTTTTGGGGGGAAGCATCCAATATTAAGCCACCAGTTTGATTTACGGGGGTCGACATTCAGCAGGCGTTTCTCTGGAGAATTCCCAGCATGTTAACTCCTTCAAAATCTGCTTCAAAAGCAGCTGCTAGGAAAATGAGCTGCGGGTAACACGTGCTGCTGCTAACCCTGGAGAAGATCGATCAAACGTCACCAGCCAGCAAATGGGAACATCATCGTGCACGGTTCTCACGCTGCTTGGGCTTTTTTGGTACTTACTCAATTCACGTATACGTCTGTTTCATTCCATTCCAAACACTGGTGTGCCGTTCCAAAGAATTTCAAATAAACACATACCTGGGCTGCCCTCAGATCCCCCGCAAAAAGTTTAACTTTTGGTGGGTCAAATGGAAACTACCTCTAAACACGAACAGGCTAAAAAGCTACTGGGATGGCTGGGGGCCACCAAGATACGTCTGTTTCATTTCAAATCCTTCTGTTCCATGCCAAAACACTCCTGAAAGAGGGCGCTGGCCCCACACTTTTCACAGGCGTCCAGGCGGGTGGCTGGGAACTGTGCTGCTCCGAAAGGGTTTTCTGGGGCAAAGTGAGTTTTTGTTTATTGTTTTTCTAACAAGCAGCCGGTTGCTACATACATGCCACGTGGTGCAGGTCTGGTGTTGCCGGGCAAGGCTCAATCCATCCCCATCTCATGCATTGTTGCACCTCGTGCCAGCATCATTCAGAATCAAAAAACACCCAGACATATACCAACAAAACAAAAGAAACATTCAAACAGATCGGGCACATTGCTACAAATACCCAAACACAAGAATGCCGGATCACAACCTTACACTGACGAAAACGGGCGGAAGCTGACGGATCACGACCTGACGAAAATGGGCGGAAGCTGACGGATCACGACCTCAAACAAATGAAACCGGGCGGAAGCTGACGGATCACGACCTTAAACTGACGAAAACCGACGGAATCTGACGGATCACGACCGGAACAAGAGTGTCAACGCGAAGCGGCAAAACAAGCAAATTGACAACTGATGACCCGCTTTCCCTCTCTCTCTGACGCCACGCTTAACAACTAGTATGAAATGCACAAGTTGCCAATCATTTCCTCCGCACTTCTCCTGTGGTTCGGGTCTGCATCTGCTGCGCCTTATATGCAGACCTGCTTGAGCGCAACCTCAAAACCCAACAAACTTGCCGGGCCAGTGCATTGTGTGCAGTGTGTGCCAAGGTTGACATAGTCGACATTGGGCTGTAAACTGCCCGTCGTTCAGACGCCCGGACACGTGTGTGGGCTGCAAGTGCACGTTGGGGGCCACAGTCTTGCAAAGGTCAAGAAGTGTTGAAAGCTTGTTGATGCCTGCTTCGGTGCAGAGTGTCCGTGCCGGACGGCAGACTGAAGGAGCAACCGCCCTGTCAGGCAAAGGGCTCAGCTGGCTTTCCAGGGTTGCTTGGAAACACTGAAAAAGGAGACAATGCTTCTCCTGCTCAGTGCACCGCAAAAGCCACTTTCAAGCAACCCGTGAGAAAGAAGTCGCGCCTTTTGGATTTGCGGGGAGTTCTTTGAGTTCAAGCTGGGAGCAGTGCAACAGGCGGAAACGCTTGGGGTTTGCTTTCCGCTTGTGTTTAGGGCCTGTTGCAAATCTTGTAGCGGTGGCCACTTTGCTTCTCGAAAAAACAAGTTCAAAAATGACGAAAAAAACAAAACCATGCAAGAAATGATTCAACACAAGTCCAAGAACATGTTTTGTGAAAGGCAAAATTGTAGCCAATTTAAGCTAAAAGCAACGGGGCAAGCCGCTTTTGCGTTTTTTGCGGCAGCCCTTTTTGGTTGGCTAAGCTGTTAGAGAACTCTAAGCCATTTGCTCCAGACAGCGTCCACCTCAGCATTGTTGGCGGACACATCCGGCGCAAATTCAAACACTGTCCCAACTTCACCCCGAAACAAGCCGAATGAGTTTGAAGGAAATGGAAGTATTGTGAATGCTGCTTGCAAGCCCCTCCCATGAATGCCCCCATACTGGGTCCGTGGCATCGTTGACTTGCACATGATCATAGCATTGACTGCACGCTGCCATGCGTAGCCTTCCGTGTTTGTCCATGAGAAGAAAACCATCCGTCCACGTGTAACTCTGTCTTCTTTGGAGGGTACCCCATTTTGGTGGTTTTAAAGGGACACTTCCAATGCAAGAAGAAAACAAAGACCCAAAGAACACACAAAAAAAAGAAGAAGAAGAAGAAGAAAAACAAACACCACATGCTGCTGGTGTTTTTGGGGAGAGGACAATGGCCCAGAGAGGAGAAAACCCCTCCATGGAATCGCCGGCTCCCGGCTCCGGCCCCCGGCTCCCCGCCTTCAGTTCCTGGAGGTTGCTGGGCCTCTTGGGCCCTCGCCTCAAGGCCCACGGAGATCGATCCAACCGTCGCCAGGCAAATGGGAACATCAGCGTGCACGGTTCTCGCGCTGCTTGTTGTTTTTTTTTCCCTTTTTTTTGTTTTTCTTTTTTTTTCTGGTACTTATCTCAATCCACGTAGAAATGTCTGGTTCATTCCAAACACTGGTGTGCCGTTCCAAAGAAGTTCTCGAATAGACACTAATACTTCTGGTTCTTTCCAAATGGCCATGGGTCAAAATCAAAAAAAAAAAAAAAACGTAACAGTGAACATCCCAATCCCCACTATAGGTTCCAAGGACAATCGCAGGAAGAGAACGACATTCTGGGACTTTGGGGTTACCAACCATTTTTGAACAGAAATCCATGTCTGAAAGCAACGGTTTCATCCTCCCAGTTCTAAGGCTACCATTTCCATTCTTTCCAGGAATCCTTCTTTCTAGAAAACCTCCAGAAAACCCAGGGAAATGGCTGGCTTTTGAAAAGAACGATGGTTGAACAGAATGGGGAATCAACCCCTAGAGATACGGGTCTGTCGTTCTTTTAGGGAACCCCCTTGTTTGGCGTGGCTTTAAAAGCAAACCAAAAGGAAACAACTTTCCGTTTCTTAGGGAGTCCTCATAGTTTGGGGACCATCCCACAGTCGTTTTTTCAAGGAAACTCTCATGTCAAGTTCGCAGCAAAAAAAAAGCTGCGTTGTAGTCTCGGCAAAACCACTTGTTGCTGCTTGTGGAAATTTGTATTTCAGGCACGGGCCCTATGAACGCGGGAAAGCAATGAGCGCGGAAAGCAACAAGAGCGCTTTCCTCGAACACGGTTCACGTCCGGCCCCCTTGTGGTTCAGTTGTGTTGCTTTGCCCCTGGGCCCCTTCGCTCATGTCGCCCCAATGTTCGGTTCAGGAAGCAAGGGACACGGACCCTTTGGCACCACTCCCCGCCTTGGCCCCCAAACACCAGTTGCCCAGAACACTCACTCGCTTCCGAGTTTCGGGGCCTCGAAATAGGGGACTCCCTGAAAAAAGCGGAGTTGCTTCCTCCTGGTTCCCCCTCGAAACCACCCCGAAATCAGGGACTTCCCTCCAAAAAACACAACAAACAGTTTTGACAGGGCCCCCCCCTCCGTCCCTCCATCCTACTCCACCCCCACCGCCCACAGCGTCCAGGCAGCCGGTCAACAGGCGCCTGGGGGCCCCCACTTCCGGGCCTTGGGATCCGAGGCCAAGAGCCGCAGCTCCTTGGAGAGGATCCGACAGTCCCGGTCCAGCCTCGCACGCAGCTCGCACGACTCGCACGTCAGCTCGGGCGCAGAACCGGAAGCGCGCGATGGGTTGTTCCAATATGAGGCTGGCCAACCAAGGGGTCTGTTGGTTCTTTTGCGAGTACCCGTGTTTTGGGGTGTTGGTGCTTCTTTCGTCGTGCTTTTTTGAAGGGAGGGGATGAATGGGAAACCAAAGGAAGACCACCATTTTGGAGGGGGTCCGGAGTTTCTGCTTGGCTTCTAGTTCCTTTATCCTGGTCACTGAAACACCATAAGTCGTTTCACCAATACAAGTCGTGAGATCTTTGCCCGGGGAAAGTGTGAGACCAACCCGATTTGCCCACATCGCTGCTCTATTTTTCCCTTCCCAGTCTCAAGGAGAACAGGTGATGGATCAATGGCATAGCTCCCAAATTGGCTCAAAAATCAAGAGCCAGACTTTCGAGGTTGGTCTATTTTTCCCTTTTGCCATGGTTCCATGTTGGGGTTGTCGGTGTGGAGAGGTGCAGGGGAGCAATATGGGTCAGTGTGGAGTGGAGTGGTCTGGGGTGGCGAGGATTGGATGCTACTGTTGCTTTGGTCGTGGCTGTTCCTTTGGCAGTTTCTGTTGCTGTGATTCCTTCGCAATTTGGCAGCAACACGGTGCGCTCCCCCATGACTTCTGCCGACTGCTTGACGAACTCAAGCCGAAATATACACACCCCACCCCCCACACCACAGTCAGTTCGTGCACAGCGCAGAAGCGGCCAGCCAGCGCCGATGTGTGAGTCCCCGAAGCGGTGTCGGGTGCGGAAACGAGGCTCGCAAGGGCCGGGCTTATGCAGCGAGTCCATCATGCCGGACATCTGGAAGGCCATCACGTCGTAGGCCGGCCTCGACTCCGCCCCCGTCAGAAAAGGAGCGGAGAGGGAGCGCAAGAATTGGGCGGGGAATGTCCGAAGACTCTTGGAGGCTTTGACAGCCAGTGCCAGTTACTCGCAATTGCCACACTTGCCCCCATATGTGTTCGTTTGAGCACTGACCGCGGACATGAGTCGCCGTGTGCTTGCATCGTTGCTTTTGCTTTGTGGGAGCACCGAAAGAAAGAAAGACAGAAAGACGGAAAGAAACAATGAACGAAAGAAAGACAAGAGAGCAAACTCCAACAGCAATGGACACAAACAGGCTATGGCCTAGGGATGCGATGGAGTCCTTTCCATGGAAAGATGGGCGGATTGAGACATGCCGAGTTCGTCACACATGGGAGGCCGCGTGCGATGTGCACGCACACAAACCAAACGGACGCTGTAAAAATGCGCAAACTCTAGGATCCTGCGGATCCAACTCAACATGGGGGGGGGGGGCCAACTCAATATGTGGGGGTTGATCCAAAGGTCCGATATTCATGGGATGACCATTGGAGGAAACCACAAAAGATGACTTTCACCACATGGGAAAAGTTAGCCTGGGTCATTCTGTGGCCGTGCGGCCTCTGCGGGTCTCAGGGCCTTGCTCAAAGGGTTGTCCTCTTGCCCGCAACAAAAAAGAAGAAGAGGCGGATCAGAAAGAAATTAATCGCCATGTTTAGAGGCTTAAAATCCGGGGCCGCGTGTTCTTTCAAACCCTGGCTAGCCAAATGTCTCTTGAGTCGCGGCTGAGGCCGGCGCTTAACTTCGTTGAGATGCGACGATAGCCTCAGACATGGCCAGGCCTTCACAAGAGCTGTACCAGGATTTCTCTGGTTGCTTGATGGGGGGCCTCTCAAATAGTGGTTCCCTAAAATGGCAACGGTGTCCGTTCATTTCCCTATCCAATCAAAAGGGGTCATAAGACATTTTGAGAAAAGCCTCATTAGATTGAAGGATCCTATGTAGGAAGGGATTCATGGGGCTCGTGGGCGAAAGGACCCAAATGCGGAGCAGTTTCAACTGTAAGGCTGGTTGTTGATCAACTAACAAGCTGCCTATTCCACGAAAACTGCTGTGCACCCTTCAAATTTGCGTGAAATAAATGGTATGTCTGGGGGCTTGACTACAAGTAAGCGCTAGGCAGCTAGGTACCTCTTCCTATGGTCTACATGACATCGTGCTTACATGCAATGGGCATATCACATCAAGGCTTTCTTACAGCGGTACCTACGTTTCGGGCCGCCCCCTTTTATGAAAAGCTTCTCGTGCAAGACACACTTGTCTTCCTGCCCCCGCCGACTCCCAAGCCGCCACGCGAACGCAAACCAGGAAAAATAGTTGTTTTCTGTTTCCCCCCAAACCAGCTGGACAGCACCGTTGTAGGAATCTAAACCTTTGAAAGGAAAAAAACAAAAAAAAAACAAAACGTAAGCCATGGCGTGTCGCAGTACCTTGTTTTCTTCATCGCAGCTCCGAAAGAAGCGTTTGGCAAGGTTCAAGTCATCCGATCCTACAGTTCCTTCTCAGGCGGACGCATCTTTGTCACCCTGGCGAGGTGGTCGGTCTGGGACTTCTGGTCTTGGAAATGCCGTGAGTCGGAGGACATCATGGCGGTGTACCTGCCACCAAAAAAACACAAACGCCTTTTCTGAAGAAGAAAAAGCTCTTCTTGGTCCAGTTATCCATGAAAACCGGAAGCGGCTCCTGCCAGGCTGCCTTTTTACAACTTCGCAAAGACCACTCAGCAAGAGCAAACCCGGAAAAAGGGGGGGCAAGAAATACATTCGTTTTTGTTTGCTCTGTTGGGGTTGCAGGGCCATCCAGTGTTGTTGCTCCCTTAAACAAACAGCTCGGGCGATACCCCCCAAGAGCGTGACGCATATTTGCGTGCACTTGTTCGCGCCGCGGATTGGTCCCGCGCTTGCTCAGGCTTGCCTCTGTCTGCAAGCTTCGGACACTACCAGAAATAAGGCAAACAGCAAGCAAAGGTTTGCTGCTTGCTGTTCTCACAAGTTTTGGACACCACGCTGCCCGGGGTGCTGGTGCCGGTTTTGCTCAGAGCACCGCTTTACCTGCAAGGCAGAGCTGGGCCATTTCCCTGGCTTTAAAGCGACACGCAATTGAACAGCCAGGGATCGGGATATGACGTTAGCTCGAGCCGTTGGACTCTCGCGCAGCACCCCGGTGACAGGGGATCATGGCAACCACCGAAGGCGCCGGTGACCACAACCGGTGACCCACCCTCGGAACCCCCCCCTGCCGAGCAACCATGTCAAGTATGTATGTAATGTGTAATGTAACGTAACGTAAATATCTTTGTTTGTATGTATACACCGGGGATCCTTACATGGTGTCCCTTTATTTTGATGGAAAAAGCCATGTGTCAAATGAGCAAAATGTATCTTTAAGGCGCCCTGTACATGTACCTAGGTTTCTTTGCATGTTTCTGCGTACCTTCGCATGCACGAAAAACCCGAAAAACCGCGCACTCGCTGATCTCCGCCGCGGAGGCCCCGACCACGTCCTCGCCGATGGCCTCGTCGTCGAAGTTCACCACCTCCACCTGGCGCAAGCGACGAGTCCTTCGTCGGGACTGGACGAAATCACGCCAGGCACCAGCGGAGCCCGTTTTCATAATGGGATAAACCACCTATTAACTCGGATTCTGTGCCTCCAGGCCCTCCGGGGGCCCCTATTAACTCGGATTTTGTCCATCCAGGATAGGATGGATGCATGATTTTCTCCGTTCATCGGGTTTGTGGATGGCAAAGATGTAAGTACGATGCTTCCAAAAGTCAATCAAGGAGACGTCCTGTGTTGCTCAATTCACGGGGATCCAATCAAGCTTCCACTTTGAGAGGTTGAAAAAGGGAATATGAGGGACCATGAGTCACCTGTTGAAATGCAAATGGTTGAAGCACGGCCTTAGACACAAATGGGAGGACGCCCTTGCGTTTATTGGGATCACGGCCTCATGGATTGGGTCCTTGGGGTACATTCTGGACGGCGACATAGGTGCTTCCAATGGGAATTGGCTTTTGACGAGTGAAACCCAGCCCTTTGAGGGCAAGAGCTCCTGAAGACTGTGCGGGGTTGAAGCCTTGGCCAAACCTTCTCCAAGGTCCTTGTATCCTTCCTTCCCTCCCTTACCCATGGGCCAACAACAAAGACCGCCCTTTCATTGAATTTCAATGCACCACGCAAGAGGATGGAAAACACGAAGCGCCTGGACAGGTCGCTGTGTCAGAAATCGCAAACCCGCCTTGGTCAAGGACACCGAGTCGGGCACCTTGCCCTCACCCGCACCTGTCAGCTCTCTCAGCTCACCCTGTGGCTTCAGGTGCGGCCAGCTGTCTCGGCATCTGAACATTGTTGCTCGGCTCGTTTGGGTGTGCCCATTCTCGAGTCGAGGCGGCAAAAAAAGGTGGAGAGTTGTGTGCTTGACTAAGACAGGGGGCTGTGCGGTTTGAAAGCCGGGCGCCGTCCAATTTCCAGAGGAGCCTGCCGGAACTACAGAACCTGTGGAGCACGGCTTTGCAAGGGAAAAACGGGCAACAAGACGGAGGAGTTCGACCAGTTTTCACACATGCCCAAATGCTCCAAGCCCCAAGACGCTACTTCTAAAACGAGGGCTCACCCGTTGGGAGAAAAAAATCGTTGGCATCTCGCACAGATGCTTGGCCTAACCTGGACAAAGCTGACAGCTCCTCGGTTGTAGACTGGCACAAGGCATCGACATGCGAACAGAATGGCATGGGTATGCAGCGGGGAGTAACAATTGGAGCAGCAATCGGTGTGCGCCAATGTGCAAAGGTAGGCGTCAATCTGCTTCACTGGAAATATGGGAAAATGAAGGGCTAACATCGATGAGCTTTTGAGGTAACCCCAAAACCCCCGTTCCAGCCATCGGCCCTCATCAAACCTCACGCCGTCCTTTTCCGAAACCCGGGGCCCAGACCACTCCAGGCCGTGAATCCAATGTAGCCACCCGCCTGCGGAGTCCAGCGAGGGAGCGAGGATTGGGGAGGTCAAGAAGTGGAGCTGGTCCTAAGGGTTTTTCCTGTTACGCTCTGGATTTCCCTAGGAATTGCCCAACGGAATCCCAAATAAACCAAAACAGGCATGTTTTATCTGGACATGGTGCAATTTTGTTTTGTCCATCCACGCTATGGGCCTTCAAATCTTCCAAACTCCAGAGCTCCCCATGAAGCCCCGAAGCGGAATTGGACGCACCGGCACAAAAAAAGAGACACGGCCGCGGGGCTCTCGCCGTGGGCGGGGCCTTCACTGGGAAGCCCTTGCGATCCACGCTGAAGCACTCCTGGGTGGTGCCATCCACTGTGATGCTGGCCTCCCAGCGGAGCGAAGGGAGCGAAGGGAGATGGGTGGCTCGTCTTTTTTGTTGGGGAGGGCGCCCGTTCAAACGGAAACCAAAAGGACCGAGTATTGGAGGGCAATCGTGTTTTTGCGGGCTTGAACGGACACCAAAAATAAAAGAAAACCGATGCCATCTTGGGAGGTCCAACCAGAAAAAGAATGACGCAGCCATGTGGGAAGTCCTTTTCAGCCCAAGTCCCAAAAAGGACATCCACTCAGCGCACTTTTCACTTTGGGAATGAGGGATCCCCAAAGAACCAGTGGCCGGAAAGTCTTCATGCAGCCAGAGTCCAAGGAAAAGGTATGAGTACGCCCATCCAGTGTGCCCGTCGTACAGGAACTGGCTCCCACTGGGCTCATGACACACTCCAACCAGCCCGTCAGCCTGCACCAGCGTGGGCTGAACCCTCAGATTGAACTCCACCTCCTTCTTGTTCCGGAAATCGATCACCTCACGGGTAAAACTGCTGAGCTCTGGGCTCGCACCGAGGAGCAGATCTGCATCAGTACGCATGTCGTGCGCGGGCTGAGAAAGACAAATTGGATCAAGTGTTGCTCATGGTGCCATCTGTCGGTATGCCTGTAAACGAGATTCCCTACGAGTACCCTCGCAAATGCTTCCCTTCGCAAGAGTCCAGACATCACATGGCCAGGGGGCATAATCTATGGCTGCATTTTGGGGTGGATGAACATCCATTTGCCACCTATTTTGATGTTCACCAGGGGTACAGGGCTTTGACCCACAGCCACATCATGAGAAAGCACGCTGTCAGCTTGGCATGTTGAAATCATCAGGCAGCGTGCCATGAACCATCGGACGTGCCGCGACTACCATCTTCGAATTTCAGGTTCTGCTTCTTGCCGAGGGACACCTGATTGACCAACCAGGTCAGCATCTTTGATTTTTCCCAGATTGCTGAAAGCTACAGGGGTTCTAACTTCTAATAAAGAGGGGAAAGTGATGTGCGAGATTGACGGACTTGTGCTAGGGGGCGTGCAGTTTGGGGTGCTGGTGCAGGTGCTTTTTCGGGATGCTGCTTGGGGTGCTGGAGGTGCTGGTGACGAGATTGACGGGCGAGTGCTGTTTGGGGTGCTCTTCGGGAGGGTGCTGATAGAGGTGCTGCCGTGCAATCTGCTACCTGCTATGCTGGTGCTTTCGTTTTCCCCTTCTTGGCACAAAGAATCCCAAAAACGCTGCCACTCAAGATTCAATCCTGCCACATGGATTGGAAATCCGGGCCCATCTCAGCCTCCCTCCAGGGACATCTGCCACACCCCCTGGGCCCGCGCTGCCATGAACAAACTTCTTCCGGCCTTGGCGCTGGCCGCGGGTACGTCCACGCCATAGCTCAAGCTCTGATGCTTGTCGTTGCCTCAGGCCGCTGTGGCCGATGCCACCCAGGCGCGCATGCGGAATCCAATGGGAAGACGCAAAGAACCAAACTGAGGTCATCATTTTGACCGTTTGAAACGGGGATAAACGGGGTTAAAGTTTCACACGCTGGGTCGACTCCTTTTAACCTATTTTGGGGGGGGGTGACTTTGATGGTGGAATAATGGGGGCCAGTCAAATCATCAATCTTCTCAGGGCGAGCGAGCTCGCCAAACATGCTCGACCAAACATACCAAGCAAACCAGGGGACTGCCATGTTTCGTGGCGCTGTTCGCTGCTTTGCCCCAAGCTTGACCTTAGCTTGGATACTCTTCTAGGGCATCAATGCCTCAGCTCAGCCAGACGATTTGCGCGGCGTCCAAGTCTGGCCATGTTGTCAAGCTGTACTGGACCTAGCCAATAGCAACGCGAACACGCACAACATCTGCTTTTGGCAGCCTAGGACTTTGTGTTCCAATACTTAAATGCGGACAAGGGACAATTGTTCCATATGCCTATATGCCTTTGCAATATGCAGCCAGCATATTCCATGGTAATTGTCTAGCTTGCTACTTCAAGCGCGTATTGAGCAACAGCCACCTCGTGTCTGTACAACATGGTTTGCAGACATCTGCGCGCCGTTGTGCACGCGTTCTTCTTGCGCTCCTTGCCACCGAGCTAAGGCGCCATATAGCAGGGGAAAAAATCGAGCTGATCATGAGCTAGCTTATGAGTCTGTGCGGCTACTTCGACAAATGGCTGATGCAAGGCAAGGCTTGACTTTTAAAAGACCCGGGTTGCTAATCTCTTCCCCCTATTAATGAATGACCCCCATTAATTATAAATGGATATCCGGGGCCCGGGACCAGACTTCCACTCCGCACAATTGATTTCCATTGCGCCAATACTAAACCAATACTAAAGTCTTGGAATCCTTATTAGGGGGCACTTTTAACAAGCTTCCAGCCCCACTTTTAAAAAGGTGTGGTTCCTCAAAAGATGAATTCCCTAAAAGGTTGCTTCCCCAAAAGCTGGCTTCCCCAAAAGGTTAGGTCCTTTTGGTGGGTTCCCCAAAAGGTTGTCCTTGACTCTCTCCCCAAAAGGTTGTCCCTGGTTGTCCCTGACTCCCTGACTCTCTGACTCTCTGGCCTCCTTTTTTTCGCGTGGCTCCGTAGCTTCCTGCCTGGCTTCCTGCCTGGCTCTGTTCCCCCCTTATAGCCAATCCTGCCTGGCCTCTCGCCTGGCTGTCATCATTTCTGTTCCCCCCAATGAACAAAAATGATCCAAACCAAAACAAAACAGGAACAAACAGAAATAATGACTTGGCCTCCTCCTCTGCCTCCTGTCTTCTCTCCTCTGCAGCCTGCTCCTCTCTCTGCCTGGCCTGCTGACCAGACAAGCCGGGGCTTGCTTGCTTGTCTGGCGTCTTGCCGAACAAGTAGTCCAGTCTGTAAAACACTGGCTTGCCTCTGCCCATGCTCTGCTGCACTGGAACCATCTGCCTGCTACTGCCTGGGCTGGGCAAGAGCGTAACCGCCACTGCCTGTCCCTGGCTTGGCGAGCTGACGGCCCTGACCTTGCTGGGCGGGGTTTCAAATGAAGACTGCCTCTTCATGCTTCCCGTGCTGGCTTCTGACTGCTGATTGGCATCCTGGACTGTCTGTTCACTCCTTGCAGCCTTCTTCTTAGACTCGGCCTTGTCATCAAGGAAATGCTTGATAAAACGCATGCGATGCTTGATAATTAAACAATCGCCATTCTGAATTAGACCAATGTCTGATCTGTATCTACCCCTTCCCCCTGTCCTGGCTGTTCTCCAACATC